AGGGTTAAATATCTCCTCTTCTTTCTCCATCTAAACCCAAAGCAATTAATTTTGGACTTAGGAAAGCGTTGTTCCGCTTTAACTTCTACCAAAATGTCCTTGAATTGCTCTGGTTTGCTTTGACCTCCTTCTCAAGCCCCCCTCAAACACTGCACATCACTCTGTCTGCACATTGCCCCCTCTTGCACATCGCTCCTCTTTGCACATCGCTCTGCTTGCAGGTTGCTCTGGCTTGAAAGCTGTTCCTCTTTGCACATCACTTGCAGGGTCTTGTCTCTTCCATTTGCTTCTATTGCCCTCTGCTGGGGACTGTCAATGGGAAGGCTGATCCCCTGGGCAGTGCCTTCTCCTCTCCGTCATCCCTCTGCAATTTTAGGGGAGACGCAGAACCACAGGTTTGGGTGCCAACCCCTCCCTGCAGCAGTGATCCCTCATCACCACTCACATGTCCCAGAGAGGCAACTCTCACCCACAGCACTGCACACCCACTTGTGGACACAGCCAACCCCGCACATGGCCAGCACATCTGGCCGAGAGGATGTGCATGACACTGGAGGGGTCTCCAGGATGTGCATGTGGGTACACAGACATGTGCGAGATAAGAAGCAGCTCAGCTCTGTTATTGCACCTACTTGTGCACAGCTCAAAACTCTGCGCACCCAGAGCTGGGCCAGACTTGACCCACAAGCCCAAAGCAGGTTGGACAGAGCTAGTCTTGAGCATCACCTCCTGACATGCTTTGCTCTGTGCAACCTTTGCATTTCAGCCGGCATCAACAGGGGATGTGTAGGGTGGTTCATGCATAAAACAGAGGAAAACAGGACATCGCGAAGGGCCGCACTGGCAAAACCAAAGTACGTGCTGTAATTGCTGGTGAGGACCTTCAGAGACTGCCCAGGCATGGTCTAAGGCAGTGGCTGAACCTACAGGGCCTTTGGTTTCAGCAAGGAGACGATGGGAATTGCAGGATCCAAAGCAGCAGAGCTCCAAGGGAACTAAATGGCAATGAAGCGTCGCCCTGAAGGGACACTACAGCGTCTTAAATGACCTTTGCTGGCAGAAGAAAGGTTCATCAAGTTGCTAACGCCTCGAGACTGAAGAGCAACAGCAACACCAAGAGAAGACCCACAAAACCCTGAGGAGCACTGTGGGCAGCACGAAAGCTCAGGCTGTGCGCACAGCAAGCAGCAAGGAGGATTTTGGCTGCTACCTGGGAGCATCACCACTGGAAAGCCTGGAAGAGGGGGGCAAACACAGGAGCATGGGTTGATTGTGTCACACCCATCACAGTGAGAGCTCCGACCAAGCCTCTGCCGTGGCTGCAGTGCCAGCAAGCTTGCACCATTAGGGCCTGGGAGCAATTTGGGGGGGGCAAAGCTGAGCGAGAGCATCCCACTGGGGCTGCGCAGCAATCTCTCCCAGCCCAGGCAGAAACCTGAAGATGTGATGCTCCGTCGCGGAGATAACCATGCCCCACGCTGGGCCGCCACCAGCCAGCTCAGAAAAGGAACAAATTGGCAGTATTCAGAGGAATATTCTTCATTTCCAAGCATATCACTTCTGTCCTCTGGCAAAAAGCCCCCCCACCCAGCTTTTTAGCAGCTTTTGCATTTCATCGGGCTGAATCCAAGGTGCAAAAGGGGAGGGAAGAAACTGGAGACCATTTTCCTTCAAGAACTGGGGAGATTTCAGTGGCAGAGAGGTGCTGCAGGGGCAGATTGAGGCTCTCCCATGTGGTGCGGGGAACAGCGTGGGTCTGCACGCAGAGCTGGAGGGAAGGGATGGGCCAGCAAGGATGGGTGGGGGAGCAGGAGAAAGGGAAGCTACCATCCCACCAGCCCTCGTAGAGGATGTCCTGGGGTCCCCTGGGTACGGCCAGCTTCAAGGGGGACAGCCTTTCCCCCTTCAAAGCGGTCCCACTTCCCACCATTCCCCAGTCCCGCCTGGACCTGCTTCTACCCAGCAGCTGGAGAAAACATTTGGAGAAGAGTGGTACAGGGAGGAAAAGAGGGAAAAACAGCAGCAGGTCTTTGGGCACCAAGGGGATGGAAATGAAGGTGGCTTCAAGATTTCAAAGCCAGCCAGTGCCCCTCAGTCACAGCCAGCACTGGACAGGCTGAGGAGGGGAAACAGATGCCTGCCTGGCAGTCTCCGCTTCCAGAAGTCCTCGCACAGCCGTCAGATTACAGATGATGGAGAGGAATGCCTTATACCAATTAATTCCCAAAGTGTAATTAACATCTGGGCCAGTCCATGTGATCCCCAGCTGCTAATGAAGCATGGCACCGCTTTAATTCCTGCTACGCTGCACCATCTTCTTATTAAATCCAGGAGTAGGTTCCATCACATTTCCCTTAAAGGGAAAAAGGAAGGAGAGAGAAATGGAGCAGGATTTGTCTCAATGAAATATGATAGATTAGAGTTTGCTGGATAAAGAAAGTAGGAGTGGGGGGAGGGCACGAAATGTGAAATTTCATAGGTGTGTGCATGCGGGCCGGCATCTGTATATTCTCTCGCAATGACCTCCTTGCACCCCATCCATCAGCCTGGGGTTGGCTTATTCTAACTAGCAGAGTCTTTTCTCGTGTCTAACAGGCCCATCAGACACAATCTGCATGCCAATTACCAGAGCAGACCCCCTGATACTGAAAAATGGAAATTAGCTGTCAAGCAAAAAACGGCATCAGCAGGCTGGGTTTGGATTGCCTGCGCTCCCTGCTCGCTCTCGCTGCCGCTCATATCCATATGCACTCTGCTCGGCGTGCAGCTGTGACAAGGGAGCCCCCGATGGAAAAAGTAATCTAGAATCATAATAAAATAAAAAAATAATAAAAAAACTCCCACCCAACTAGCATATTTTATTGTTACTCACGTTAGTTGCCAACATTCAGGGCACAATGCAAAATTCACTGGAGGGCAAGAGCCAGCCGGAGGAGGAGGGGGGAAAAGAGTTGGGATAATTGCGTTTTCGCGGTGGGTAGATCAAGCGATGTAAGGGAAGGACGTGGGGAGGAAATATTACTGTAAGGGCAAACCAGAACCAGGTCTGGTTCCTCCGATGCTCTGTGGTGGATATAAGCCAGCAGCCATGGGACTGTAGCACCCCAAACCTGCCTGCTGCAGCTCCGGCACCCGCTGCAGGGTGGGACAAATCCCACCGCAGGGGACATAGGATGGGGAAGCACACTGCCCAGGCAGACACTCCCCAGAATAAAGGTGAGAGGTGGTTGGAAATGTACTGGCCAGAGAAAGCCTACCTGCAGGAGATTTTCCTTCCAAAATGGGGATGGGCAACAGGCTCTCTGCAAAAAACGGCAGCCAGGCCATGCTTGAGCTGGTGCCTTGCACAGGCAGGAGCTGGCAGCCCTTAGAGGTGCTTGGAGAGCTTTGCCAGGAGGCAGGGAGAAAAAAAGGGAGCTGGAGATGGGTGCAGGCAGGGCTGGTTGGTCCTGGAGAAATATTTTGGGGAAAAATTCAGCAAGACCCAACCGTAACACCAAATTGTCTGCTTCCTCCATCCTGCTGACCTGTGATGGAGAGGTGACAGAGAGGAAAGGCAAGGCAGGACAGAAGTTGGTCAAGAAGATGCATCACCCTTTGCAGCAAAGAGCTGAAACAGGGCAAGGGGCTAAGGTTGGGGGGGTGAACTGCAGGGTCACAGCAGGAGGAGAAGGAAGACTCTCTTCAGCCCACCTTTGTGCTGGGGGAAGCCCGTGGGGCTGGAGCTGCCCCTCACGGCAGCTCCTTCCCACTCCCCACCGGCAGCTGCATTCCCAGGGGGGTCGCGACGCCACGGCTTGACAAGCATCACTTAACCTGCCTCCCTGCTCTGTAATAACCTCATATATCAACCAGGAAGAGACCGTGAGCATGGCTAGAAGGGCTCTGCATCTACATCCAGCGTCATTATCCCAAGGCCCCTTGGCTTGATATGCAAACAGGCTGCGGGTCCCTGGGGTGCCCGGGAGGAGAGTGCCCTGTGCAGCAGACATCAGTTATTCCTGTGCGGGAGGCTGCGCATGGGCATGCGGCAGCAGCGTGGACCCAGCCTGACATCTAGCAGCACTGGGCAAAATGGGGTGCTCCAGCTGGTGGCAAACTGGGTTGACTGGGAGCCTGATGGCCCCCTCTGCTCCCTGCACACCTCAGGTGCCCAGGGACCTCTTCCTGCCCTTCGAGATCATTCAGCAGCAACCTCCCACCCCAGGGCAGCTTTCAGAGGCACTCACCATCTCTGTCCACATCCAGCCTCTTCTTCCCCTTCCAGCTGCCCAGCTTGATGCAGTGCTTAGCCCCATTTTAAGCAGCCGGACCCCTTGCCTCACACCTACAAGGGGCATCCTGTACCTGACACACTGGGCTGCCAGGGTCCCCAGTACCCCCCATGGAGATAGCAGCTGTTTTTCCGTCCTGCCCACTCTGGGATGCCTGCCTCTCATCTCCACTTTCCGCCCCGGTCCCATTGCCCCGTGCATCACAAGAGCGACATGCTCCTCCAGCAACAGGACATCTGCTGCCTGCTCAGGCTCCCTGGAGGGGTCTCGCTGCACGTGGCACAGATGCAAACCTCATCCCTTCTCCCCAGCCACCAGCAGCCCCTTCTCCTGAGCCACCACGGAGCAGCAGCAGAGCAAGCAGGGACTCCCCAGGGTCACGACATACTGAGCTGCCCACAGCCAGCACCAAAAACTGGAGTCCCAGGGACAGGTGGCCAGTCCAGTGGAGCAGTGGGACCAAATGCTGGAGCACAAGCTCCAGCTTCAGGATGGCTTTTCCCTGGAGAGGAGCAGTGGGATGGAGGGGAGGGTGCCAACCCAGAGGAAGGAGATGACAGAGGAGATGGAGACAGACAGGGCTGGCTTAGAAAAGGCTCAGCTCCACACCAGCTCCCCCAGGGCAGGATAACTCGCACACAGACCCCAGGAATAAGCAGGACAGGCTGAGCTGAGTGACTCAGTTGCTTTATTGACAGCCTCTGGCAACCCAGTCAATGGGCTGCCTCACTCGGCGATGCTGCGGAAGGACTGAACAGCGGGGCTCGCTGCTCCCCACTCCACAGGTTTGCGGTACTCCCCCTTGGGCAGCAGGTACTGCCTGCCTCGGTAGTTGGGATGCTCATAGAAAACCCAGACGCCCTCCAGCACTCTGCAGGCATGGACCTCGCGCATGTGCCACTCCTCCATGACGGAAGGGCAGTCTTCGGTGGCTTCAAACATCTGCCCGCCAAAATCTCCCTTCTCAAATACTTGGATGTGGCCCCGGCCTCCACTTGGCTAGAAAAAGGGGAGAGAAAATGGCAGAGCACTGGAGGGAGGCACTGACATGTTCCCAGCTCTGACAGTCACCAGCGGATGGGAGCAGCGCTGAGGCACGGTCAGACTCAGATCGGGTGTAAACCGCACCCCTCCCAGCACACCAGGACAGGGCTAAACAGCTCACATCAGCCCCCAAAAGTGCAGCGGGGGAGGCAGCTGGGGTAAATCTTGACCGAGCATCATGTGCAAAGAGGGCATAAAAGCACCGAGCTGGGGCAGAGCACCTTCAGCTCAAACCCTCACCGCAGCCCCAGTTTTGCAGGCAGGAAGGCTGCAGGGAGGGATAAGGCCACATCAGCAAGTGCTGGGCTCTCTATCCCAGGCAGCCTGCCCATCCCGCTGCTGGCTTGAACCCTTCAGCCACTCCACACAAGCATCAGAAGAGACAGACCCCCTCCACTCCTCGCTCCTCCAGGCAATGAGGAGTTTAATGAGCTGGTGACCCCAGCTGGGTTGTATTACAGGAGAATGAAGCGCAGGTATTTTCCACTGTGATTTGAAGTACTGCGTTGCCTGAAGGCACTGCGGCAGTTTTAATCTGCAGCTGCCTGGACACCGTCTTCCCCCACCTCCCCCATCCGCCCCAGCCCGCTCTCATTGCCAGCCCCTGCCGAGCTCTGTGGGGTCTCTCAGATCTGTGCACTGCCGCTGCGGCTTCTCTAGGGCACTCTGACCTAACACCTGCGAACAGCGGGTCACCGTGCAACCTCCTCAAGCGCAGAAGGAGAAGCCAGGCACCAGGCGGACATGCAGGATAAGGCCTCCACATTTCATCCTGATGGAGGAAGCTGTGCTGCTGTTACATCTCCCACGGGTTTTGGCTCCAACCCTTATGCCAGATCAGTGCTCTGAACTGGCCGGAAACTCTCCCCGTCCTGTGCAAAGGGAATTAGACCTAGCTCAAACCCAGAACAGGCTCAAAGTGGTGTTAGACCTCCAGACATAAAAGCAAAACCCCTTCTCAGCTGTGAGACCTGCTCCATGCAATGGGAATCCATGGCTGTGCTACTCAAGTCAGCGATGCACAGATCCCCACCGATGTCTGCCCCACTGCTGGCAAAAACACAGCAGCAGCACTCAGTGTCTCAATCCCAATCCACACTCCATCCACGCTCCCATCCCTGCCAGTTTTAAAGGGTGCTTCTCCCCATAGGCTTCCCAAAGGAATCGTTCTCTCTGTTCCTTTCTCCCCCACCAGCATTTCCACAGGGTGTAAACGCTGCTCACTGTCAACCTACATTTATCCCATCTCCTTCTGGTGGAAGGACAGGTGCTGCCGGAGGCTGCAGAAGCACCTTCCCATCATCAGTTAGGAGGGGATGAGCACAGTCCTGTGCTGCAGCGGGGAGACACGTGTTGCTCTGTGCTGTCCTAATACCAGAAGACACCAGGCTGCTCCAAGCATGCCCAAGGAGGGCTTCAGGCATCCCTCCCGCTCCTGGTCACTCCAGGTCTGCACCTGTGGCTGCTCTCCCCATGCCCAGAAGGGCTTGAGATTCAGTTCCCGGTATCAGAAGGGAGCCCTGGCTTGCTAGACAGGCAAACTGCCCCTCATTCTGAGTGCTCCTGCAAAATCTACATCCCACTGTTACAAGCCTTGGGCCTGCCATCAGATTTGGATCAGCTGGCAGCACACCAGGGGAGAAGACAAGAGGCAAGCCTCAGAGCGACCTGCCTGGACACTGAAGTCTCTAGATGAACATGCAGATAAAACTCCACTGTTGTTCCTATGGAACTCACCTACAAAGCACTCAAAAGGGATTTGCTTTTTCCAGTTGCAGTCGAGTGGAAGAGATTTATCTTCTCCACTCACCAAACACCTTGCCATTCCTGAAGCAGGACTGTGGGAGCAAACCGCCTATAGCCATCCTCTCCAAGGGAGCTGCCATGGGTCCCCAGGAAGATGGGGGCCACCCACAAGCATACTGAAACCCTTTAATGATAGGTGTGTAAATTAAAACATCCCTTGGGAAGAGGTCACACTTACTATCTGGACGGCTTTGCAGGAGCCGAGGCGGTCGTTGAGGCCCATCCAGTGGTGGTAGTCAGGATACTCCCCACGCGTCAGAACATACATGTTCCCGGAAAAGTTGGGCCTCTCATAGGCCACCCAGGTGCCTCCATCCACCCGAATGGAGTTGCAGCGGCTCAGGTAGGTGTGAAAATCGGGGCAGTCGCTGTCGCACTCATAGCAACGGCCTAGGAAATTCTTGTCTTCATAGAAGGTGACCTGAAACACAAGCAGAGGAAGGAAAGCAAGGAAGTTCCCCATCCCCCAGCACATGCCTGCATCCATATTCTAGCTGCATCATGGTGTGAAGTACCTGAAAACAGAGTCCTCAAGATATCAAAAAGTCATCAAGCCTAACCATTGAGCAGGATCAACTGCATCCCAACTAACCCTGGCAGCCGATTCACCAGTCTGGCCCCAACGCCTCCAGCTGCCACCAACGTCTTGCCCTTCCCAGCACCTAGTTCTGTCCCAATCCAACCCAAAGCTCCCTTGGTGAAGTCCCTGTCCTCTTTGCAGCAAAACACTATTAATACATTTCCCTCCCACCTTCTCCAGATCAGTATTTACTAGATTATGGCCAAGGAAGCCATAAGTAGTCAATGGACTGTACTAAGTAGCATTTCATTTATATTGGCTTACCTAGTGTTTGCAGTTAGACCTATACTGATAAGGGGGTGGTGAGGTCTCTTTCCTCCTGGGTCACGTCTTCTAGCACTGCGATTGTTCTCCTTGTTCCCACTCTAAGAGTCCACAGCTTGCTTTCTCAAAAATCAACACCAAAAGCTGGACACCACGCGAGCTTTACCAGTGCCAAGAAAAACTGAAGGACCGCTCCACATATGTGGGGGATAGCACAGTTCTTCAGACATCCAAAGTTGGCTTTTTCTGTTTTCTGCATTTGCAGTTGGCTTCTTCCATTTTGGTTGCTGCAAGTTTGCTATACAGCTGACAAATTTCCGATCTACCACCACATTTCTTTCCCAAGAGCTGCTCTACAGCCAGGCAGCTGACTGCAAAGCACTTTGCTAAGGGACACTTTTCCTGACTTGATCACAAACTTTTTCAAAATGATCTCAAGAGCTGGTGAGCAAATCCCATTCCTCTTGCCTGAGGTATCACCAACCCAGCCAGCCCTAGAGCAGCGACACATGCTTTGTTCAAAAAGACCTTCATGGAAATATGGCCAAGCCCTAGACCCAGACCAGTCTTTTGTACAGCCCCATTTTTAGATCCTTCCAGATGACAATTATTCATCAAAAGCTGCTCTTTGCAGTAAGGGTTCCCAAACCATCATGTCTATTTTGACTATATCCCTTGCTTGCTTATGATGTGGTGCCAGACCATGCCAAAAATTACATTTGTCTGACGTGAATCCATCTCAGCAGATCCTTTTCAGCTGCACCCAACCACCAGCCCGTCTTCAACCTTAACAGGAGTTTGATTACTTACTCCAATGTCTTTTAGAGCCTTGCATTGAATCAACTGATGCGCAAGTTAGTTGATCCAATGCAGTGCATACTCAAGACAGCGTTTCACCTTTTCCAGCCTTCCAGTACAGCATCAGCCCCATACATGCTGCTGGGTTATTTGGTAGCACCTATGACTGCCTCAGCCAATTCCCCCAGATGCTCTGGAGAGAGTTTTTCTGGCCACAGGGATTTAAACATCTAACATGCAGTACTCCATAATCCATTTTCCCCATAGTTTTTCCATAGCTTGAGTATTAAAATACATGATCACCTTTTGCTCCTAGCTGGTTGTACTTCACCTGTCGTGCTTTGGCTACTGGTATTCATCTAACATCACCGCTGTTAAAAATACTGTTCATTGTCACAGTTTCAACCCAGGAGATAGACTCAAATCTAGGACAACCCACTCTTTTTTTTTTTTTTCCCCACTCACTTTGTGTTAAAAAATAAGTTTGCCACAGTTTTCCTAGAGCTGGTTGGTCAGTGTGTCCCACCAGCCTGACCAGGTACCTGTGGAGTCAGACTAATCATGCCAGAGGATTTATGTCCTTGGTCTTGTGGCCTGTTAGTAGACCTTTATTAGGATAATGTTATTTCCCTCACATTTTCCTCTTACTTTCAAGAGACTGATCTCCCATTACGAAGCAGCCAGCACATACAAAGCAACCTGTCCCCATGTCTCTCCCTCCTGAGCAAGCTCCTCCCATCTTCAGTGCAATGGAGAGCTGGGAGATCACTACCATCTTTCCAGCAAGTGACTGAAGTTTGTAAAAAGGTGTGCACTAAAATGTCCAATTCCTGTTTTCCCACACTGCTACTATTGGGTAGTTAACCATGCTGGTCAGTCCTTGCCAGCCACAACCCTGCTGTTGTTTTATGGATGCTGCTTCTGGATCTTTGTCCCTAGAGGTATCACCTGAAAAATCTGCCAACATGAGCCCAGAGGCGATACCGAAAGCCCTGCTCGCTGAGTTTTGGCAGTCACTTACCACCAGTAATCCTCTTCTTGAAGGCAGTGGTCAAGGAAGCCACAGCACCCCTGTAATACTCTCTACAGGGCAGTACACAGGGATGCATCTCTTCGCGGCTCAGCCATTACCCTCCCCACTGGGAGAGCTGATGAGCTCTCACCCTCTTCAACCTCTCTCCCCAAGCTCTACAGCGCCTTCTGATCTGCAGTCCCACTCCTGTCCACGCAGCAAGCATCCAGCACGGTCGATGATGAACCCTGCCCAACGTCTGTAAGACCACAGGTCTGGTCTCCATGCAGGCAGTGGCCTGCCCAGGCAGAGGTATGCCTTCTGCTTCACAGCAGGGTGACTGGCAGTAGGAAAAGAACGGGTGTCCATCACCTCTGGTCCTGGTTCCTCATGAGCTGCCTTGATTTTGTGGCTGGCATCCAGCAGCACCAGCTCCTCTTGCAATGCCCTACCACAGCAATTGTGCATGAAGTTGGTTAAGTTGGCCTTTAATTTTGTAACAGAAAAGAAAAGCTCATTTGATGTTCCTTCCCCACCCAGCCTAACACAAATGAACTCCAATTTGGCAAAGCTACCTGGTGTTCCTAGGAGGGTATTTTCCCTGTACTTATAAAGCCACAAAGCCAAAGAAATCCAAGAGCACGTTAAGGGTATGGCCATTCCCACAGAACAGTGACCAACCAGAAGTGGTGTTCATTGTTTTACTCTTAGACCATTTATAGGAAGACTTAAGGAGAGGGCTCCTGCCCACTCATTTCTCCATCACAGCTCTTTGCACACACCCTCAATTCATTTCAGACCTTCACACTCAGTGCTTCTCAGCTTTCCTCCAATGATTCAGGCACAAACAGACCAGACTGACGTTTTTCACCTGCAGGATAATGACAGGTGAATTACAGATTTCAATTCCAGATTCGTCGCATCTTACTCTAATGCAAATCACCTTCCTTCAGTAAAGCCATCAAGTTGCTCTGCTTATACCACTAACCTGTTAACTGCTCACCGCCCACACTTTGCTTTTTTGGGGCTTACCTGGCAGATAATAGATTTGCCATAGCAGATCTTCCTTACAGGACTGTAGAACTCTTACTCCCTTGGCCACCTCATAGCAGTTATTCTATTTCTTCCCAACAGTAGCTCTGTTAGAAGGAAGCTTGTAAACAATAACTGTAAACAATAACTAGTAGTGCCCACTGCCTTCTAAGTAAGCAGCATGGGGGCAGTGATCCCCTTCTAGGGCAGACCGCTTGCTTAGGTTGTGAGAAACAGTGTTTAATTCTCTCCTTTGCCCTCTTCTTCTCCCTGGAATGTGCTAGACAAGAGCATGACATACAAAAAAGATGAGATTCACAGTCTTTCACTTACTTAACTCCTCTTGGACATTTTGCCGCACCACAGCGGCCCATAACCAACGAATTCCCTGTAGCACACTCACAGTGGACACGGCTTTCAGCAGGGGTAAAGGCAGTATATGTTTAAGTCTTCAAGCAGACAGGAGACTCAAGCATGAATCAGTTACATTTCCCCAGCACCTTCTTTATGCACGGGTACATAAAGACTGTACCACTGCAATCTGAGAGCCACCATGTTAGAAGCAAGCAGCACACCATCCTCGGTTTCTAAAGACTGTTCATAAATAGTCAAACCACTTCGAGCTAAGATGACAGTCAAAAGGAGCGAGGAAGCAGAGACTGAATCCACATCTTCCATAGCATCGGCCAGTGACTACAAAGTCACTCTGCTTCTGAGCCCTCTGCCCCCTTAGGTCTTACAGTCTCCACAATTAAAAGGAATGTAACCCAAAAGCAAAACTCACACAATGGAAAGATATACGTCTGTCCACAGCCTCTTAACAGTTGTTTAACATTTCACAGGAGAAAATGGCCAGTAGCCCAAAGTTGTCACCCTCCTTTCCCAGCTGTTTACCCCTGCCCAGTCCCAACCCTGCAACAAGGTCTGCATGACCAGCTCAGCTCTGCTAACTTCAAGACTGAAGAACACAGCATTAGAGCTGGATAGCCACCTGATGCACACCACTCTAGCTGAAGTTGAGCTTTCTGATCTATCTCCTTCTCCAGTTTAAATTAATCTCTGCCGATTCCACCAAATCACAAGGCCGGTTCGCATCCCTCACCGAATGCTATTGCCTTTGGTGCTATGATCACCATTCAGGCATCTTTCTGTCCCAGCAGCACATCCTTTGTTCCACCATGGAAAGGGGATGTGGCGGCTGCCGCTGGTGTTGGGACTCAGGTCCTCCCAAGGAAGCCTTCCACGAGGCTCTGTTCTGCAAATGCAGCTCGTCACATTCACTGCTGGCACAGCAGCCTCTGCCGTCAATTTACAAGGCATCAGGTCCTGGTGCATTTTAAAATATCCCCTCGCCAGTCACTGTGTTCCACTCCATCCTCTCGCAGAGCCACATCTAGATCTGGGAAAAGACTAGGGAGGGCTCAGCTTCAGCTTCCCTCCATGTGAGGAGGGATTTCAAGCATCTCCTCTTGCCAACAGACTGACAGAGGGGGAGGCTGTCAGCAGAACAAAGAAACCCAGGTTTCTCCACAACTTACCCCTGATAAATTCTGTACTCCTAGCCACAATCATGTATAGGCTGCAAATAAACTTACCTTGGTTCCAGCTCTGGACATTTTCCGTTCCAGCCAAGCTCCCCAGTGCTGGAGGAACGTCAGAAGCTGTTACAAACAGCCTGGATCTGAGGCACCCTTTTTATAATGGGCTTGTTTTAAACCAGACAGCCGCTTTGTCATGAGAATAGGATCCAAAAATTGAGTCAGTGATTCTGAGGCTATAGCCGATTTCCAGAAAAGCAAACAGGATTATGGAATAAAGGAAGGCTTCGCCATCCTCCCTTTGTTACCATTTGCTGAGTCAGAACACCAAAACTCTGCCAAACGCACTCAAAACACGCAGCCCCCTGCCAAGTCCTGGAGGACGGGGGACAATTTGGCTGCTCTCTCCCTTTCAAGCATGTTAAATGAGAAGGCATCCTCATCAGCTCTAAAAGGCCCATCCCCATTTGTAAGGAAGAGACCCAATATTTATCAGAGAACATTCCCATGCAGCAAAGGATGCAGCTAGGAAACGGTCAACACGTGTTCAGGGCAGACACCACACGCTTGCAAAGACCAGCCTCTGTGTAGAGGCTCTGCTTCAGAAGCTCACAATGGAAATATCTGTGCAGCAAAGGGACTGTGTATTTTTATACCACACCCTCAGCTTGAGCTATATTGCTCCATATGGTGCCTGACATAGAGGAAAAGAAGTATGTCTGGCCACACACCCCCAAAGTGAGTAATTTCACACATCAAATAGGAAAGAACAATGCCCAAATTTCTGACCATATCTGCTAGCATCACAAATTCAACTCAAAACTCTTACACCACTGTCTGAGGTTTGAGCAAAAGAGTTTTTCTTTTAGCCACACTCTGGCCCACTGAGCAGGGAGGGTGAGGATTGCTGGCTTATGTACACCCACACCCCCCCGCCAGTGCATTATGAAAAAACACCTCTGCAGCTATTCACTGCACCAGCCCAAAGGCTTAGCAAAACAAAGGGAAACAAATTTGGCACAGGAGCGCCTGAAACACACAGACCCTATTTCAAATCTGTCAGGACAAGCAGTCTCGCAACAGCAGCTCTGCGTGCCACCCCATGTACACTGCCACAGCTCTGCTAAATGCAGTCAGGTATGACACCCTGAGATAGACATGCTCAGCAACATCTCGTCCTCCTCCCATTTTAGGTGTCTTGAATTGCCTAGTGCTGTTGCTTACAGCTCTTACTGCTAGAAAGCTGTGAGGCCACTTAGATTTTACTTCCTTTTTTATTCAAATGCTGTCTTATGAAGATCAGAGTTCAACCACAATCCAGGTCCTATTGAAAGGCAACCCAGTAGGTTCACTAGGACACCTCAAAGCTCCACTGCAGTCACTTTGCACATCCCTCCTTTAAAAGTCAGTTAAATATAATAAACTCACCATGCATTGCATCACCTGCCTCCCCAGGAGGCAAGAGGGACCTTCAGAAAAATCCTAGTGTCACAACAGCTGTGTACACCAGAGCACTAAATGCCCCTGCCTTCCTCTCACTCTTAGGTTGGATAGCTCTTCACAAGGCTGCTGCGTTGGTCATCCATGCAATGCCTTTGCCTATTTTGCCTAGCTTATTTAGGTGCTCAGCTACGAGCACATCTCCCCAGTACAGGTTCCACTAGCACGTGAAAATGGTACTCATTCAAGCTGATACTCTTTACAAGAAATATTAAAGGTAGGAAACAGTGTTTGTATCAAAATATTGTGCTAGGGCAGCCTTCAAAACCTTCAACTCCATGGCTACTAACAAATTAGCACTTTTCTCTCAGCTGACTGGTTCACGTTTCATTAAGCAGCAAAGATGCTGTGACCCTCTAACACCCACTGTACAGGTAAAACACTTTCCCTAGGACACGTGCCAGGCTTATTTGAGAACTCTGTTTTATTGACATTTGTCAAAACAATGCAAACGAGTAAAAAAGTTAATTCCATAAAAATCACATTGCTTAAGTGCCTTCTTCATATAAAAAATCCCTTGAATTTAATTCATTAAAAAAATCAAACACTTCTTTTTCACATTTATAAAAACAGTGCAGCTGGCTCGTACCGTAAAGATGCACACGATGTCCAGGGCCCTGCATCCAGCTCTGCACCAGGAAGGGCTCTTTTGCTGGATAATTGCACACCATGGACACTAACCACGATGACAGCTTCCCCACTAAAGGATCTGCAACAAGGCATACTTCATCATCCTCTAGCAACATGCATTTTCTCAGTTACTAATGGAATAGTTAAAGCACATTCCTGGAAAAATGGCAGTGATTAGAAATCCTAAAGCAGACAGACAGTCCAATCCACACTGAGGCTGGGTGTCAGATCCACATCAAGTGTGTTCAGGCAGGATGGCCGCAAACTCTTAATGAGAACTGTTTTCAGTGTATTGCTGCCTGTTCCCAGAACTCTGTAACAAAATAAGAGGAGCAAATTTTACTCCCAACACTAGCAAAAAAAAAAGCAACTCAAAGACTAAAGAAAAGGAAAAAAACTCCCCACAACTTTCTAATGGTTTGAAACACGCAATGGCAGAAAAGCACGATAAGCGCTTGCCTCCGGCTCCTAAATCACTTCAGCTTGGGAAGAGAAAGACACTACAGAGTAAGAATTATTTACTTTTGAGTAAGTCTCACTTGACTCTCTTAAGCAAAAAGTGAGACAGGTAAGTACAGATATTAATGCACACAGCCTCTTTGAAAGAGCAGCTACTCAAATAAGTTTTTACATCAGATTATGCACAATATGCATATCTGCCTTTACAGACACACACAGATGTCCCCGACAAATCAAACAGAACACCTGCAGAGAACAAGGGAGGTGCTGAGTACACAGGGAAGAGATTCAAACTGAAAAGAGGTTTTGACTGCAAAATAAGAACTAAAACCAAATGCACGGCTCTTGGGAGAATGTCCACTGAACAGCCTCCTACTTCTCCTACCTCTGCCTAGGCTGTGCACACAAACATGGGACAATTCTTTTAGACAGAGAACAACCAAGAGAAACAGGCCCTCTACTCACCCTTCTTTTCCTTTTGCTGCACAAGAACATGATGCTATCCTGCTGCCTGCTTGGAACCTACTGCAGGAGGAACAAGGCTATCCAGCTGCTGACGGTTCCCTGTCTGAACCAGCCATTCATAGAATTTGTTTTCTACCAGTATCTGGAACTGTTTCCTCTGATCCCTGAAATGAAAAGAAGATCAGCAGGGAAGTATGTAAAGGTCACACTTATTTATAGTATTATACTTCTAACCTCACCTTCACTACCAAAATGAGCCTCCATATATATCAGCTAAGGGCTGGGCTTGGTTCCTGAATTGTCTGTACCAGGAAGAAAATGTTTTTACCAAGTGAATATGACTATAATGAACCCCAAAGACAGAACTTGGTGGAGCTAGAGAAGTCATGCAAACCTCCCCATCCCACTAGCACAGCAACCCTGCTCTACAATGCTGCCTCCGCTTTACTCTTAGAGCACAGATTAAAAACCGTCTGAATAGGGAGAAAAGAAGATTAGTAACCAGCGCTCAAGCACTAGAGACACAAAATTCTGTTCTGACAGCATCTGAAAGAGAGAGGATGGAGATCAGGAAAAAAAATGCATCTATAAACAACACTACTCAAATAATTCCCATTACTGCTAAATAACTGGGGGGGTGGTTTTGGTAAGACCAGCAATAACAGGGTATACCACTTAGCTCAGGCTCTCTGTCTCTGGCACCGATCAGATGCCCAAGAGCAGCACAGGCTCACGGCAGTATTTCTCCGGAATAGCATCCCAGCCATCTGTGATGAGTTCAGCTCCAGAATTTCTTAAGCCAAAGGTGGCATGGGTGTTGAGTAGCTCCTGATGGACCTTTTTTCTGTGAGCTTACACAATTCCTTTCTGAACCCACATAAAACATGAACACTTTCAATATCCTGTGGAGATTTTATGTGGTTTTGCTTTGAACCCATTCCTAATTTGATGTGCTGATCCCATCCTGTACTGGGAAAAGCAGCAAACTGACCCTATTAATTTTTGTGCCACTCAGCTTCAGAGAGGCTCGGTGTACCCAGACCCTTTTTTCAAGTTAAAGGCTCTTCTTTGTACTATTGCTTTCATTTGAGACATTCCCCAGAAAGCAGGGTTCTAGGACAGAAGCTAACCTAAATTCCTCCCTAGTGAACGTGAACACAAAGGCAGTCACTTCTTTCTTCCCTTATGGTTTTATCTTCTCCAAGTGCTTTTTATATACCTTGATCTGCTACTGACCCTGAAAGACTTTCTGTCTGATATGCTCAGAAAATGAATAAACAGGATTTTATGCTTTTGCAAGTTGTTCCTCAAGCTGTCTTACTGGTCCTGTCTTACGGGGGTTTTACTTTCAGCCTGGCAGGATTTACATTCTTTTTTTGCCCCACTTTCCTCATTCAGACAACTTCAACTTCTTGAAAGATGTCTTCTTATTTCTAACATTCTCTTTCACCTCCCCATTCAAGCATGGCAGCTTTTTTCTTTCTACAAGTCTGATATCCTGTTTGCTCTAAGCTTCCTAGTTGTTTCCCTGCCTGCAGAAGACCGAAACATTTTACACTGTCAGCTGCCCAGTTTCTTTTCAGCAAGCTTCTAAATTTGGCACAGTTTTTCCCCTATTATGAAATAAGCCACCGCAGTAGTGAGCTCTGGCCTCCTGTGACTGCGGTAGAGGATGTTAAATCTAAGCACATCATCCGTATTACCTCACATTTCTTTAACAGTAAGATTTGACAGGCCAAACACCTTCACAAAACCCAGGGATGAGAAGCAGCAGCCCTGGGAGGACAATGGCTGGAGGGGGAAGCACCTTAGATGAGGCTGATAGACAGAATGGATGACCCTAGCACAAGGGCCGAAGTTGTAACTTTCCTCTCTGCTTCCCTTGAAGACTCAGGGCTGAGAGTTTTGAAGGTTTTTACACCTCTGTCACCATTACTGGGTCACTACTGCTCAGCCACCCTCCACCTGTAGCAAAATGCTGCCCCAGAATCTTTTTTCTCTCCTAGTCTAGAGTTCTTTCAAACTGCAGGCTCCTCCATGCTCAGTACAGAGGCACCTGCATTTCAGAAAGGAACAAGGGAAGCAGAGGGAGCTCCTTCAAAACAATGAACGATCAAATGGACTAAAACTCCTCAGCCTGGTATGATGGGAATTGTTGATAGTTTGACCCAAGAGGAGGTTTTCATATTCTGTGCTCCCCACAGGATAAACCCCTCCAGGATCACTGCTTATCAGCACCCAGTTACACACCTGTTACAAGTTCTGACTGAGTACAGAACAGAAAGAAAATCTATACAGCTTAAGTACAGCTTAGGGAACAAAACTTGTCCTCATCTCTTCAAGTCTTTACGATTGACTATCTGGGTTTCTATCCCCATTCTGTATTTGCAACAGAAGCCAGGTCCTTCAGGCTGCTGCATCAAAATGGTTCACAAAAAGATAAAAGCAGCTAAACTGAAGCCAGCAGAGATTTGTACCCTTGCCCTGTCTCGCTGGCTGCAGAAGAAAGCACGCTGACAAAGGAAGCAAGCTGAACTTTTTCAGAACTCCACAACAGGTGCTGAGAAAGCAAACAGAAGCACCTCAGTACATGAGATGGGCTAGGACAGGCCTAGCTAGCACAGTAAAAGCTGGGCAGAGGATTCAATGCGATCTGATAAAGAGGACTTTAAAAGCTACTGTCCACGAGGTGATCTACTGTAAAGGTTCACATGCACATTCTAAGCT